AAAAAAAAAAAAAGGAGTTGGGAGAGTAAAGCTGCTAATTTAAAATTTTATGCTTTGGCGATGGATGACAGCACTGATGCTACAAATACAGTTCAGCTTGCCATTTTTATTAGTGCTATTGGTGTCAAATGTAATGTCACTGAAGAAATGGCTTCTTTAGTGCCATTAAATCAAAAGATTTATGTGAAGCAATAAAAAATGTTAAAGTGATGTACTTCATCCATTGTCAACATATTTGGTATACCTACTGGTGGTATCCCAGCAAAAGAGAGACTTGTAAAGTTAATAGACAAGGCCAGGCGAGGTTGCTCACACCTGTAATCCCAGCACTCAGAGAGGCCAAGGTAGATGGATTACCTGAGCTCACAGATTCGAAACCAGCCTGAGCCAGAGCTTTGTCTCCAAAAACAGTGGGCATTGTGATAGGCGCCTATATTCCTAGCTACCTGGGAGGCTGAGGCAAGAGTATCACTTAAGCCCAGGAGTTTGAGGTTACTGTGAGTTATGACATCAGGGCACTCGGGCAACTTTGTCTCAAAAAAAAAAATTAATAGAACACAATGGAGTTGCCACCCCAAGAAAATATATGTGCAAAAGCTTTAAAAATGGATAATGTTATGCAAATCATCATCAAGACTGAATTTCATAAGGGCCAAAGGATTGAATCATCACCATTTCTTTAAAAGTATTGATGTTGGCTCGGCACCTATGGCTCAAGTGGCTAAGGCCGCCAGCCACATACACATGACCTGGGTTTGAATCCAGCCCGGGGCCCGCCAAATAACAATGACGGCTGCAACCAAAAAATAACCAGGTGTTATGGAGGGCGCCTGTAGACCCAGCTACTTGAGAGGCCAAGGCAGGAGAATCTCTTGAGCCCAGGAGTACCCCGGGAGACAGCTAGAGGCTCTGTCTCAAAAAAGTATTGATGTTGGCTCGGCACCTGTAGCTGAAGTGGCTAAGATGCCAGCCACATAACACCAGAGCTGGTGGGTTTGAATCCTTCCTGGGCCTGCCAATGCTAACTATAACCACAAAATAGCCAGGCGTTGTGGCAGGCGCCTATATCCCAGCTACTTGGGAGGCTGAGGCAAGAGGATCACTTGACCCCAAGAGTTTGAGATTGCTGTGACTCCACAGCATTCTACCAGAGTAACAGTGAGACTCTATCTGAAAAAAAAAAAAAATCAGGGAAAAACTATTTTTTGACTCCATTTTCAATCAACATAAATATAAATCTGTAGTTTTCTCTTTTTTTTTTTTTTGAGACAGAGCCTCAAGCTGTCACCCTGGGTAGAGTGCCATGGCATTACAGCTCACAGCAACCTCCAACTCCTGGGCTCAAGCGAGTCTCCTGCCTCCGCCTCCCAAGTAGCTGGGACCACAGGCACCCGCCACAACACGTGGCTATTTTTTGGTTGCAGCCGTCATTGTTGTTTTGGCGGGTCCGGGCTGGGGATTTGAACCCGCCACCTTAGGTGTAGGTGGCTGACGCCTTAGCCGGTTGAGCTATAGGTGCCGAGCCAAATCTGTAGTTTTCAAGAGGCATGCACAGAGCTGCTGTCTGACTTTTCAGCTTAAAGAAAAATTTGATCATGTCTCTTCACTGGACTTTTAGATCCTGTCTTTCTAGAGACTAATACCCCTTGCTTCATAATCACACCTTATTTATGTCATCAATTTTTGGCAGCACCTACATTTGTGAGCAACTATTTCCAAGAGTGAAGCAGATTAAGAGTAAAATTAGCAGGCACAGTTGCTCATACCAGTAATCCTAGCACCCCATCTCTAAAAATATCTGGGTGTTGTGGTGGATGCCTGTAGTCCCAGCTACTTGGGAGGCTAAGGCAAGAGGATCACTCAAGCCTAAAGAGTTTGGGGTTGCTGTGACCTGTGACACCATGGCACTCTACCCAGGGTGTCAAAAAAAAAAAAGTAAAATTAGGACCAAAATAACCTGATGGGCACCTTGAGAACTGAAAATTCCAACTACTTCCATCTACCCAGATATTGATGTATTAGTTTCTCAAATACAACGTCAGATATCCTACCAGTTTTATATTGCCCACTTTATTTTTTGTGTGTGTAGAAACAGAGTCTCACTTTTATTTTTATAATAAAAAATATTTTTAAAAGATGTTTTATTATGGGGCAGCGCCTGTGGCTCAAAGGAGTAGGGCACTGGCCCCATATGCCAGAGGTGGTGAGTTCAAACCCAGCCCCGGCCAAAAACTGCAAAAATAAAAAAATATATATATATGTACTTAGATTTGCACATTATCTATATTGGTGATCACAAACTTGGGACCTGCGTGATGATTTTAAAAGACTCTTGGAACAGGCTGCTATGTAATTAGAATTATTATGTGAGGACTTTTTTGCCTATCTGTGGTGGCAGATATAAAAATTAGCCATAGTCCTTCTTTTGCTCATCAACTTTTGTTAGTGTTTGTGTATTTAATATGTGGCCCAAGACTCTTCTTCAGAGTGGCCCAGAGAAGCCAAAAAGTTGGACACCCCTGGTTTAAATCATGGATTTTGTTGATGTCCCTAGATTTTTGTTTAGTCTTTTCCACATACAGCAGCAGCTCTATTTCTGCATCAGTACCCAAAACATTCCATTTTAGATAAAATAATAGAAGTTATTGAACAATGATACTATATTATTAGTCTAGGTAAGAAAATCCCTGAGAGGTTTTTTAAAAAGAAATTAACGATTATTTTGTTTTTCCCAGGGCTGGAACGAGTGACCATGCTATTTCTGGGATTACATAACGTTCGTCAGACCTCCATGTTTCCTCGTGATCCCAAACGACTCACTCCTTAAAGAAAGTCACATTTTTTATTCTTTCCAGTAACTTGCTTTTGATCTGGCTATACCTTAGGTACTTAAATTTGCACTGGAATAAATGTCTTATCTAAAGTGCTACTCTTATTTTTGGAGTAATTCAGTATAGATTAGTTTAACAGAAGTTTTTTTTTATGACTTTGGACATGCTTCAGTAGGGAATGCTTGAACATTATAGTGAGAAATTCATATGGTTATGTCAAAAGTTCACATTTCATTAATACAACAAATATTAACAAAAGTTTTAAAGTTGTATAAATTTTTTTCTTTTCTATATTATAGTGGCAATAGTATTAATGTCTTAAATTTTTAATATTTGAACTTTTAAAAAACCTGACACTGAGATAATAATTAGGAAAGTATTTTAAATTTTAATGACTGTCTAATTTGCCACATCATGGAAAATTAACCAGAAAGCATCAATTCTTAGTTATACCTAGAAATTGTGGAAAGCAAGTGAAAATACTGGTTAGAAAACATTCAGTACAATATTGTATTAAATTGTTAAATTCTAAATATGAATTTCAATAAAATTTTTAAGTTAATTATAGTTTGTCATTATAGCTTTGTGGTAATGTGATTTAATAACTGATGCTTGCCATTTATAAGAAAAATGAGGCAACTAGTTGATGTAAATGCATGAAAAATGGTACATTCTTAACATGTATTCATTTCAAGATACGAGTTTAGATAGATAAAAGGATGGAGCTCTTGGTTCTGCGCCTATAGTTCAGTGACTAAGGCGCCAGCCACATAGACCAGAGCTGGCAGGTTCGAATCCAGCCCGGGCCTGCCAAACAATGATACCTACAACCATAAAATAGCCAAGCATTGGCTCAGCGCCTGTGGCTCCAGTGGCTAAGGTGCCAGCCACATACACCTAAGGTGGCAGGTTCAAATCCAGCCCGGGCCGCCAAACAACAATGACGGCTGCAACCAAAAAAT